GTACAAATGCGCTTTACACAATTGATGTGTGTATGGATTGGGATAACAGTTGTATGAGCCCCTAATAAAATGTTAAAAAAATAATAATAATAATATGAGCAAAAAAAAAAAAAAAGAACAGTATCAGGAGTCTTAAAGGCTAGTCTTTAAACAAGCAGCTATTTAAGTGAAAAAAATGTCTTCTAAGTCCACAAGGAAGAATCACACCAGCCTGTGTGATTCAAAGATTGCAAATAAAATCCAAGCATGAAAGAGAAAAAAAAAGGAGATATAAATTGTGTTTGGAGAGGTTGTATTTATACCACGTAAGTTATTTTGTGGGTCTATTTTGAGGAAAAGGAAGAATAATGCCATCACTCTATCATGTTTTTAAACAAAAGTCTATTAGGTAAGTAGTTAAAATAACTTTTTAGAGCACAAATTCTGTGATGGCCTGTGTACACACATATGATAACTGAGATAACAAAATTAAAATATGTGAAATTGGATATATTCTAGAAAACAGTAAATTATGAAACAGATTTATTTCTAAAGACCTAGCAAAAGCACTTGGAGCATGAGGTTTCCTAGTTCCTGGTCCCTGCCTGACAGCCTCAGCATGAAGTAAGTTCCACCTCCTTAAAGCACCGTATTACATCACAATGGTTATGCACAGCTTCTTGCTCCTACTGAATGGAGGCTTGCCTAATAGTTCTGTCATCACAGGATGGCAATGAGTCAGAACTGACTAGACAGTACCTAACAACACCCATAGTCCCAGCTAGATAATTTTTTAGCTAGCAGTCAATAAATATTTGTTGGAGGACTAAGTAATAGTAGCACTCACTCTCACATGTGAATCTGCACAAACGCAAACACAATATAAGAGCTAAGGATTTGGTTTTACCATATGCTCTGAAATATGTAACGGACCTAAGAAAATCTAATGGTGAACCCTGACTGTGGTACCCAAACCAAGGGCAGGCCCAACTTATATAGGGTCCCTATGAGTCAGAACTGACCCCACAGCAGTGGGTTTGGTTTCTCTCAGCACTAAATAGGGTTAGTCAAGTTTGACTCAGGATGGCTCCATGTGTGCAGAGTAGAACTGATCCCTGAGATTTTCAAGGCCATGATCTTTCAGAAACTGATCACCTTCCCAGCTTCCTAGGGATCTATGGGTAGTTTCAAAAAACCACCAACTTTCAGCTAGTAGCTTAGCATTTAACAGTTTTCAGAATGACTAATACTCGGGTAGGTCTCGATCAGAGTTACAGCAAGATAAAAAGCACAAAAGAAATCGATTTACTAATTACAAAAGGCAAGACAGAAAGCCTAATAAAAATCAAGATTTTGTACTTAAGTGCTATTAAGAGAAAGGAAAGGGAAAAAAAAGAATACAGGGTCTTTTGATCTGGGTCAAATGTATGTTGTGTGTTTCACGACTTTTTAATATGTTTAACCCATTTGATTGCATGGTACATGAATTATGTCAATAAAACTTTTAAAAACATCTATGCTGTGTAACTTTAAACAAGATATTTAATTCAATGAGCCGTACTCAAGTTTCTTCACTATAAAAGAACCTTGTTTGGCTGCTGAGAAGACTAAATAAAAAAATTATTATATAAAGTATCTGTGCACCTGAAACAAGACAGGCACTCAATAAATGAGATGTCTACCTCTCCTTTTTTTACTCCCCTTTATTGCTTAGCAATTCTGAGACCTGAAGAATACAGCATGTATTCTCCATACCAATTGATAAATTGAGCTAATGACATCTTGAATGATTCCAAGTTCAAAGACACACTAGTTTCTACCACTGAGGGCTCCCAAAGACAAATATATTGATCAGAAAACACATAAGTAAAAAATAAGAAACTCTGAAAACATAATTTTCTTTTAAGATAGAATAAAAGACCTAATGAATAACTTTTAACATTTAAATTCAACGATTTCTTTAACAATAAAAAGAGAAATCTATTTTGAAAAGATACTTTTAAATATATATACCAAATTTCAGTGGAGGTTGAATTTCTAAATGGGGAGGTATCCGCTAAAGAAATTATGGGAATATACATCCCCTTTGAATTTAGATTGACTATAAGAGTTCTACGGAGAACAAAAAATGTACTCACCTTCCATGGGCATGGAAATTTAGGCGTAAAAACTGGTCCTCGTGCGAAACTGCTCTTTTGGCACGCTGGTGTTTTTGGTGCAATGAATCCACATCATAAGATAATCCTTCATAATGTCTAATGTATTTATTTAAAGGATTTCCATACTGACCTATAAAAAATAAACAAGTTTAAATTAGCATGATCTTGAAGTCCAATTCTAGTTAAGATGCTACCGTGGTCATTCAATATCTATGAATATGTATGAAACACAGTACTTTTTCTAACATTTTCAGATGCACACAAAAGTCTAAATACTGTGGCTACACATTGAGCTGCTAACCTCAAGGTCAGCAGCTGACACCACCAGTTCCTCCCAGAGTAGCTGAAGGCAAGAGAGAAGGAAGGCAATCTACTCCAGTAAAGAGCTAGGCTTGCAAGCCTACAGGGACAGTGCTACTGCCCTACAGGGCTGTTGTAAGTCGGAACAAACTTGATGGCAATGGGTTTGGGTTTATAGGTTTGAAATAGCCACAGGTCTAGATGTCTTTTATCAGGTTAAGAAAGTTACCTTCTACTCTGCTGACAAAAGCTATCAGGATTGCAATGTCACGGAATGAAATGTGTATGAACTGCTGAATGGAAAACCAATTTGTAAAAGTTCACTAAAGCAAGGAAATGAGCTGCCTGGGAAGGTCTCCGTGGGTGCTCTCACAGCACCACAGCCAGGAAACTTTCTCAAGGAAGAAAAAATGAAGCAATCAGAGGGCTCAGCTCATATGTCTCCCTCTTTTAGGGTACACTGTCGTTCACTTCTGATGACCAGTATCTTTAAAAGCACTGGTTCATGAAACAAACAAAAAACACTGTTCTGTGCATTTTCTCTAGCTGTTAGCTTGTTCAAGAGCGAGGGTAAGCCTGGTCCTTGCTATACGAACTTGGCCAGGAAGAGAAGTCAAAACACAGTGATTCATTTAAAAATCAAGTAAAATGTCTTCTTAAAACGACCCTTGTTCAAACTCTGGTTTTTCTTCAAATCGTATAACTCTTTCGCCTTTTACTGAAGAGTCCCATGGAGAGGAACAAGTACGAGCTCTCAACTAACTTTTGGAAGCCTTGCAAACCAGGACTAGAAAAAACAAAACCAAAAAAAACCCAACTACGCTCATTCATAAAACAAATGATTTTTAAAATTTACACTCATTCAGTACCTAATGTACTGAATAAAGTCTTAGTGCTCTAATATTAAATTTTTCTTTAAGCAGTTGAAATTGCTATTCACTATATAGTTGAGGGGACAAACTTTTATGTCAAATTAGCTGGGTTTAAATCCCATTACCTGCATTTATTAGCTTATTTAATTGAACACCCCCTCCAATTCATTTTCACATTCATATAATGGGAAACCACTGGTGATTTTGTTAATGGCTGGGTGCTGTGGTGACTACTTCGTCAGAGCTTGTCATCATATGTAAATAGGAGAACCTGTGTAGTGAGGGGAAGGTACAGGTAGGGGGTTCTCTATTCATCAGCTCAATTTTTCCATAAACGTCCATTCATCCATACGTGTTATAACCAGTGCGGTGAAGAAATCAGATGGTTCCGAGTTATCAGAAAGAATAGCCTCTGGGGTCTTAAAAGACTTGTTTTAAAAGCACACCAGTCTGTGTGATCCAAGGATTATAAATATTAAACCCAAACTCAGAGGGTGCAATCGTATTAGAGCTTAAATTCTGAGTACCTGGTTTGCAGGTGACAGTGAAAAGCAAAATCCATTTGCAGCTTAAGCCTCCATTGAACTCTCTGGGGCCACCAGCCACGGACATGAATAGTCCTGCCCTTAGCAGAGTGCACTTGAAAGTGGAATGCAGCAGATACAGTGCAGTTAAAATTTTAAATACTATCATTTGTTTTCCTTTCTGTTTGTTCTAGTTTCTACTATCTTCTGCATTCTCTTGCACGGAAGTTTTTCTGTGTTTTATGTTGTTGTTTGATGTTGTTTGTACGACCTTCAGTATATAAAATCCAGAATAGATAATGTGGGGAACAGAAGGATTTCTCCCAAGCTGTCTCCCCCAAATATATGCCAGACTTAGCTGCTTGAGAGTGACTGTACACTTGGAGGTCATCAGGACTGGATTGGGGTCATTCTCCCTGAGAGTTATCAGCTGTCTAGACCAAGTAGACACCACTGTTTATCCCACAAGTAGGGCCCACTCCCTTCTGATAATGATAGTAGTTGTCTGTTTCCTTGTAGGAGACACCAGAGAGGTCAAACCCGCCCAAGGATGACCAAGCTTAGGCTGCCATCATGAATCTAGGGTCCGCCCATCTTGTCACATGTTTACCCCTAGACCTTCCCATTCCTATGGGCACACCCCTAGCTCATCCTGTTACGCTTATGCCTATCATAGATCCCCTTCCTACAATGTGGATGCCCATTGTACTGCCCCTTCCTGTGACATGTGATTCTGTAATGATGTCCCCCCTAAAGTGAGATAATGGTTGGTTAGCAATAAGAAGAAGCTCTCTCCGGAGACCAGGAGGCTCTCCCCAATTCCCGGGGCCCTCTCTGGCTCTGGGGCCAGGGGAGGCTCTCCGGTTCTCAGCCCCAAGGCTGCTCCTGCTCTCGTGGCCGGGTCCCCCCCACCCCCCCAGGACCACCAAGCGGGGCTGAGGTGAGCAATGCTACCATGTAATGTGTCTAACTGCATTATTGTATCTCTCATGCTCTCAATGACTTTAATATAAGACTTATATCTCTCAACCGTACAATTGTGCTTACTGAACCCGTGGGTAGTACTAGCAGCGGGTGCGGCTGGCCCTCCACCCCCATAACTTAATACTACAAGATAAATCCACAGGGCAATAACTAGATTTATATTTCCTTAGAGTTATAGCAGGGGAGGTTGGGGGATAATGAGAACTCATAATAATGGGTATAAGAATGAAAAAAGAGTTCTAAAACTGATTGTGTTGATGAATGCACACCTCTTTTTAATATATTTAAACCAATGAACTTCAGTGGTATGTGAATTTTTTTTGCCAATAAGAAAACCAAAAAACTCACTGTCATCGAGTCGATTCTTACGCTCAGTGACCCTATATAGGGCAGAGTAGAAATGCCCCTGTGGATTTCTGAGCTTGTAGCTCTTTATGGGAGTAAAAAGCTTCATCTTTCTCAGAGTTACTGGTGGTTTTGAACTACTGACCTTGCAAGTAGCTCAATGCATAACCACTAGGCCACCAGGGCTCCTGTATACCAGTAAGACTGTTTGAGGGGGGAAAAGACTACTCAATCTAAAAATATCAAATGTAGGGGATTGTTGAATTGGGCATCTAACTTAGGTGAGCTAAGTCAAAGAGCAAGCTTGGCTTTGCAAGGCTGCTGTTTCC